GAAGGGTTTCTGGTGGATGTTCAGTTCCAGGCTGGGCAACAGATGGCATTTGGCTACCTATGCCTTAATTTTCCCCTCCTGATCCTGTTGTGAGTACAACAGCTTGAAGAATGCCTGGGAAAGGGGCTATGCTTTGTGGAGAAGCAGATCTTCTGCAGGGCACTGAGCAACTGGTGTGTGTTGAGTTCTCTGCTCTGATCTCTGATTTATATCCAGAGGTGTTTGAGTCTGGAATGACTTATTCCTCTCTTTTCTCTGAAATTCCTCCCTGATCTTGGGGAATTTCTGGGAAACCTGGAATGCATAAACTTTTCTGCCAGTCTCCTGTGCTTTGCACAGCCAGGCTGGTCCTGCAGTGCTCAGGGTTGTTTCCTACAAACTGGGCAAGAGAAAAACATCACCCTCAATCAAATCCATTCTCTCTCATTCATATAAATCAGGGAACATACCTGTAATTTGCTGTCTGGTATTATTTGAGCTATTAAGTGCCAATAGTGATGTTACAGATGTTATATATGTCATATGCTGCGTATGTGGCTGTTATGGGAAGAAGGTGAGTCGGTTTATGGTGATGAATTTGGTTTTAATGGCTTTGCAAAAGCAAAAGGATCATTGTTTGGGTGTAGATAAGGATATGAACCAAAATCTTCCTGGCTGTGTTCCTTCAAGTCCACAAATGTCATAATTGTAAGGGAAAAACCCAAAAGTCATAAAAGTATAAGGTCACCCTAAGCACACAAGATTTCCTGTGTCTTTAGCCAGCAGTGAATTTATGCTTTATACCAAATATTAAATCTTTAACAATTTGTCCAAAACCTTTGCGCAGAAACAATGTCCTACAAGAGTCATGCTGAGAAAGAATCTAAATGTTCCATTAGACCTTGAAAACTTTCTCTTTTGTGCTCTTGTTTGTTATCAAATTTGGTCTGAAAGGCAGAGGGTTGTAATTCACATTGTAAAATGACCTCATTGTTCTCTTCCTGACACTAAAGCCTGTGGTGGTTTGTAATGTGAGCAAAGAATTATGTCAATACAATATTTTTGCACTCATTCTGTCCTCACTCTCTGTTCCTTTCATCAGCTTTTTATAATCCTAGAAAGAAGATTCTGTGGGAATCAATTTGGGCTTCTTGTTCAGGGATAGAGAGAGGCAAATGTTTTGTTATATTTTTATCCTATTTACAGTTCTTAGTACAGTTAAACTTTTACCAGTGAATGGACACACCATAAAGATATAAATAGTTTTATTGGGAACTGCTCTTCTAACAGGGAGCACTAACAATTGCTTTATAACAGAGTGGGGGGAGGACAGAGAACACTTCCTACAACACTGCTTTAAAATGTAAGGATAATTGGGCGGAAAATGGATAAGAAATTAAAAACAACAATAAGGATACACTCAGTTGTTAAATCTAATAGCTAATATGCCTGAATTAGGCAATGTGCTGCCTTCTGACAGCTGCTGCTGGAGGTTCTCCCAGTAATTAACAATCAAAATTCCTCCCAACCACCTGAAAATATGGAAACATGGAGCATTTCTCTCTTTGCCTCCCCGGATGGCAGTGGGACGTGGCAGCTCTGCTGCTGGAAGATGATGTTGGTGCTGAGGTTGTGCTGTAAGAGCTGATGTCAGGCACTGAAAAATGACCTGCTTCATCAAATCCCTTTCTTAAATTAGCCCGTAATCTCAGATTAAAAACCTCCCAGTAAAAAGCTCTGGCTGCTGCTGGCTCTGAAATTATACAATCCTTAGTTTAAATTCATTAAATAGTTATGTGGAAAAGGGAGCAAGCCATCTGTAATAAGCTAAAATTGCTGACACAGTCCTCCTAATAGGTTCTTTCCCAGAGGTTTTTATTGCAGTTATATAAGAAATCATCGACTTAGGAAGTTCAAAGAAACTTTCAAAATAGATTTTTTTTTTTGGTTATGTTTTCTGAGCGATGTAGCAGGAGACCATGAAGATATTGCTCATAATAATTAGAGCTGTGAAACCTTGGGAGCAGACGCCTGGGGAAAAGGGGAACTTCGTTATTTACAGAAAGTTTGAAAAATCCTTTAAAATGGAGGAATGTTTAAAATCCAAGTTAAAGTAGCCACTGCCTGGGATTCATGTTAGTTAGGCCTTTAATCTTAATAATAATTATAGAGGATGATCTGCAGATCTCAGCTACAAAACCACAATGCACTTGCTCGATGGATTTTTGGGTTCTCTCTCATCACACAACAGGTGATTCCAGGATGGACCCAGCGGGATTTACAGCGTGGATAATTCCAGGATGTAGCTAAAGCACATGGATTTGCAGCCTGGAGCAGGAGGTGGTTTCCTCAGCCTCCAGCCCGAGCCCCACGTCCCAGTACATCACACAACTGACAGGCCCTCCCATGTTGGACCAGCAGAGTGATGGTGGAAATGAGATCTGGGAGCAGGAGGGGCCTGGAGGGTTTCTTGGGGTTGTTCTGAGCTGAGAGAGAGAGAGAGGACAACGTTGGAAATGAGCTGGTTCATAACTCTTTCACCTTTCTGAGGGAGCCACGGAAAAAACACCACTGGGGGGACTCGACGTGCTTTGTTTCATTATTCTTGTTACAACAAACACTTAAATAATGCCTTTTTTTTTTCAGCTCAGCTGTCTCCTTCACTGCAGGCAGCAGTTCCTTATATTCCAGTCTGTCCTCTTGCTCACACATCCATTAATATTCACGCTGGCCCAATGCTCCAGTTCAGCGTGGAAAAGTCCTGAGAAATGATTTCTTTCCCGGGCTGCAGAACTCACTGCCAATGACATCCCGACCTCTGGAGAGGCAAATTCATTAATTTTGGCAGAAAAATCACAATTTCTGCTTTGAAAGTATTGATTTCCTGAAAAAATACTGAAATGCCTTGTCATTAACACCTCTTTAGACATCTACAGCAAGGTACCTCTAGGTCCTTTATACAAGATTAACTAGAAATGCTGCTCATTTTTTTGGACAGAGCACATTCACAGTAACCACAGGACACCAGTTAAATTTTTTTTTCAGCCCCATCCATAAATAAAACTTTTAGCATAAGGAAAAAGCATCCAATTTGCTCAGGGAAAAGTCTGAATACTCAGTGAACCTCACACCAGGCCAACACTCAGTGAGGATCAGTTCAGCAAAATCACGTGACAGTTGTGTTTTTACTTCTGTTTTTCTTTATCATTTCATCTTTATCTAAATGTGGAAGCAAGGAATTTCCAGGGAAAATAGTAATATTATTATATGTATTTTAAATGAAAGTTACAAGAACACAAGATCAGAGTTTCATAGGATTGCAGAATGGTTTGGATTGGGAGGGAGCTTCAAGACCATCTCATTCCACCCCCTGCCATGGGCAGGGACACCTTCCACTAGCCCAGGTTGCTCCAAGATCCATCCAGCCTGGCCTTGGACATCCTCAGGGAGTTACAGTTCTTTTTTATCCATGAAATTATTTATAGTTCCATTCTGTAAAGAATGTTACGAGGTAACTTTGTTTTGAGGATTGGGTAACTTAGTTTTAAACGGATTTTTTTTTTTTGCCCCTAGGCAGTCATAGTTTTATCTAGTTCTAGTTAAAAAATCACAACTTTTGATTTTTTTTTTTTTTACAATTCTGGCATTTATGAGCTTTCAAATGTGCCAGCAGTTAACCTTTATGTGACAATGAGTGAAACCCCTGCAAACATGTGCTGGTTGATTTATAATTGTATCTGCATTAAGAGCTCAAGTTTAAACCAAACAGTTGGAATCGGTGTCCCAGAAATAACTTCTTTTCAATATTTGGTGTCAGTCAGTATTAAGGACTGACTGATTATTCTGTAGCTTAAAAATTCTTGGCACAAACTTTGGGACATGCTGAGGATCTGGAGGAGATAATCTGTTTGATGGATGATTTATCTCAGCTCTAGGCCTGTGTTACCCTTAATTTTATAAAAGGGAGGAGGACTAATAACGCCCATGGGATTGTTCATAGTGCCTGACATTTGAAGAGGTGAAAAAGTCTTTGAGTAATTGGAATTGCAGTTTGAAGTAGTGTGGATGTCCTGTCACTCCTCCTGACGAGCTGAGATTGGAAGGACAGCTTTCTTAGCTGGGACTCCAACATTTAGAAAGGATCTGCCATTTATTAATCCCAGGATCTCCACACTTCAACCTCTGTGAGATGTGGAAAGCTCTTTTTATTTCACCTGTCCCACCTTCACATTGAAACTGCTCATGTGTGGAAAATAATAAGATGGGTTTGGGTGTGTTTTTCAGTCATACAAATTCACCTCCTCTACAACTCAGAGCTGGGGATGCACAGGATCTTCAAGTACCCAAAAATATCTGATTCTTTCTAGGTTAACATGTTGAACAGTGGAGTGATCTTAGTCCTTCCCTTGAAAATTCCAGAGGTGTATAAAGCTAACATAAATTTCCCAAAATTATTAAAATTCAAAAAGCAAAAATTAAAATTCGAACTGCAGAGTGAACATGAGAATTTGGGAGGTCTGGGAGTGTTTTACGGAGCTGCTGCCAGGGGATGTGATGTAAAGTGCCCTCCTGAGAAGAATTCCAAAGGTTTTCTTAATCCATCACAACAAAGGTGATCTGTAGTGATGCCCTCTTGAAAAGTCAGCCCAAAAAAAAACTGCACCACAGGCTGATGATTCTTTTAGCTGCATGTTTTAAATAGGAGATATTTTTGGAATACTGAAACCATTAAAATCTGCTTTAGGTACCTGTGTTAAATATGGTTAACTGGCTCCACTTGTTAAATTTCTTTCCATTTATGACAGAAGATGGGGAGGAAGAAAGGAAAAGGGTCTGTTAATTCTGTAGCACCTTTTTTTTTAAATGAACTTTTTGATAGATGTTTTGTAATTGCTGAAAAAAATTGTCAATATCAGTATTTTTAAAAAGGTTTGGCAAAATACACAGTAAATATTCAAATATTAGGTGGACTTTCTGTATAAATTGGGTCATGGTTAATAACTTAGAGACTTTCTAAAACCAGAATGTTTTGTATTGCACAGGATATTTTTATATTGAAGCATATTGAAGTGTATCTGGGAACTGAGCAATCCCAAATTGTGGAGATCCTTGTGGACAGCATGAATCCGCCTCCTGGGTGGGTAAGGAGAGCTGGGCAGAAAAATTGGTGTGTGAACTCTGCCAACATCGATGACACTGAAATATCTCCTGTAATAGAGGTCAGCAAACCCCCAGAAAATTGCTTTATCATAATTTTTCTTATCCACTTTCTAGTCTTGACAGAAAAGAGAATTGAATTGTTAGATCGGAGGTATTATAAAATAGAGATGTCACTGGTTTAGAGCCACATAATGTAGGTTTTGTGCAGGTATGCACTTACAGTATTAATGCAAAATATATTTCGGGCCATTAGTTAAATTTCACTTAAATACAGTGTATTTATGGAATTAAATGTGAATTCAAGTGGAGACTGACTGACAAATGACTGTTGGGGTGATAGGGAGAAGAAAGAGCCTACTTTAGGGTTTTGCTTAGTGAAAAGGAATAAGACTTTCATCTGCCAGTATCTGAAGGGGTTAAAAGTTGGGAGAAAATGATCCTGCTGGCACAATAACCAAGGGCTCACAAATAAACAGAGACTGGGAGGAAGATTAATTTTAACTGCCCAAGGTGAGAGGCTTCAGATCTGTCTGTCAGTGCTTGTGGTGGTGTAAAGGTCTCAGCGTTTTGACTGATCTGTGTGGGCAGCTTTGGGGAGGGTTGTACTGCACAGGTGACACCCCTCAGGCTGGGGGGGTTTATTGGCATCCTGGCAGCAGAAGGCCCCAGTTACACCTGTCATGAGTTTACAGCAGAATGAGGATCAAATTCATCCAGAGGAGCAATCCCAGAGGGCCCTGAGGTGGTTGGAGCAGCCAAATGTGGCCCATGGGCACTCTGTGCTAGTCCTGGTCTCTGGAGGGATGGAAGGATTCCAGGTTTGATGTGTTGAGCAGGTAAAAGTCTTGGTTTTCCAAGAACACTTTATGTGCAGAGGTGGAGTCAGGGGGAATTAAATCAGAGGGCGAAGAACAAAAGCCTGATGGATTTTGGCTCAGATAAGGAGAGGGAAGCTTGCCTTCAAGAGAGAGAGGGATGCAGAAGGCCTTATGGATCTGTGTGGAATTCCCCTTGAGTTGTCCCCTAGGGCTCATATCTTGTGGTTAGGTGGCTAAACCCAGCTTTGAGCCCAGCCCTGCTCCTGCAGGAGCAGTTTCTGGGTAAAGCAAGTGGATGATCTGCCATAATTCCTGCATGGTCCAGCTCCCACTGGAGGGAAGGGCCATCTTAGCACTGCAGAGTCTTACATCCTCCTGCAGAGATGGTCCTGTTAGTGAGGATGGGGAAGCTCCCTAAAACTGTGCAACCCTGAAAATTCCATGGCTTTTCTGTGGCATCCATGGCTTTTCTCTCCTTTGCACTGCACAGGACTTGCTGTTTAATCTGTGAGGTTTCTCTGGGAGCGAGAGGCACCAAATTCCTGGTGGGATGTGGTGCCAGACTGATCGTGGCTGATTAGCAAATGTCACCAAGGCCTCTGCTATTCATGGATCATCATCCAGAAGGGTTTGGGGCTCCCAGTGTGCTCTTTTGTACTCTTGAGTGTGGTCCTGCAGGAATTGAGGTCAGTGGTGAAGCCTGAAGCATCCCAGTGAAATTGTAGTATCACGCCCAAGAACAGCTCTGTGAAATTGAAAATAATGTCATGGCATTCTGCATTCCATTTTTTTTTCCACTTCAAATGCAACAGCTCTGGAGATTAAGAGAGTCATTTCACTAAAACCAGCCCTGCTAACTCCTACTTAGATCTTTAACTCACACTTGGATCTGAAAGTCACGGAGTTCTCCTTCTGGTGCCCTGTCATCAGTAATAAATGCTTTGCAGTCCCCAACTTGCACCTTGCATGGCCTCATTGCCTTCAGTGGGTTGATCAGATGTAATTAATTCACTCCAGAGTTGTTTAATGATGCATAAGAAGGAATAGATTCAAGCTCAGTCTCGTAACTGCTTTGCCTCTGAAATCGTAACAGGATTAAAGCACCATTAAAAAAATCCAAGTAGTTCTGTGAGCAGTGAAACTAATGAAGCCAGGATTCCTATGGATTTGTGTCTTTTGCTTGATTGACTATTTAACTGATTTATGGGAAGATTATTTTATCTCTACATACACCTCTAATCCCTTTCTGCTGAATATTTTGGCAGTTCCACTCTGCTCGCTGCAGAAATTCCCCAGTAGGATCAATAGTTATTAGGACAAAATTGTTCAAAACCTGGCTCCTCTTTTACCTAACCCCCTGGCTTTAGAAAATTGAAACACTTCAGTTTTTTTCTTTGCATCTTTGACTGCTACATTTTGATGGGAAAAAGCAGAGAGATGTAGTCAGGAGCTCGATAAACCCTAATACCATAAAATAAAGATGAAAAAAAGTGACATAAAGAGTATGTTCTTTGCGATAATTCACAGGGCCGTGAGAATAAAAAGAAGCAATCACAGAGCAATCTTGAAAAGTGCCAAAAGGATTAACAGTATTAGAAGAAAATGTTTATGACTGAAACAAAGTTGTTGGGAGTCAGATCGTGGATTTGGAGTGGGGAACCACACTTTTATTTTTACTAAATCCATTATTTTAAAAATCTTTGGGAAATAGTTCTGCTTAAATAGAAGAGTAAGAATTAAATAAATGTCTAAAAAAGAATGTCACCAAAATATATAGGTCCTAAAAAATGCACTAATGAACTGGATAAACAGTTACCTGGGATGAAAAAAGCTTTTTATTAAATTTCTCTGGGTTTACCAGCTATGAAAGTAAAGCCTGTGTCATTCAGGAATATAATAAATCACATTTTAAATGTCATGTCACCACTCACTAGGTTTTATAAAACTCAGACTACCCAAGTAGTTAAAAAATCTTCAGAGCTTTATAGTTTATGAAACCCAAGAAATAGGTAAGTCAGGGATAAGCCCAATACCTGGGAATGAAAAAAATATACTTAATTTCACACAGACAAGGAAAGGAATAGCATGTGTGTGTGTGTGTTCTTTACAACCTTTGTGCATATTCTGTATTATTTTCATTATTTATTGTATTTTTTTTCACGTAAATTGTGGGGGTTTCATGATTTTTTTGGTAATTCTAGAACTAGTCTTGAGCAATACTTTTCAAATATAAAAATTCCAGGTCCTGAATGTTCATAACTCACTAAAAGACACTCTCAAGGTGTAACCATAACTAGAGAGCTATTTATATTAAAATAATATAATTTCTTGTGTATGTGCTTTGCAGTGGCAGCAACACCCACATTCAAACCTGTAAATCTGCCATAATTTGGGGAGTACAAGTTTTACAATCATGGCTCAGATTAGAGTAGACAGAGCTTGTTAAGTTCAAAGTCATTTGTCCATTTTGCTGTTTCTGATTCTTCACTCCAGGAGAGTTTGGATTGTATTAATGTGCTTTTTGTTCAGCTGGAGGAAAATTCATTACAGACTAATTCAATAAAAATGGGTAATTTTAATCAACTTGATGTATTTCTCCTTGGTTACTATATTACAAATCAATAGTAGTAAATCCATAGTTAAGACTTGCAAGCTGTTGCATAAAGATCCAGTGACTTCTGTCTCAGGGTCTTGAATTAAAATGGAAAGAAAGAGCAATGAAAGTTTAATGTCTGAATCCTTCCAGTGAAAAGATATTTTTCTTTTCTTTTCAGAATTCTGTGATGGATACAGAAACGAGCTCTAGAATTTTTTGACTTAAAAACCTCAAAGTAATTAGTTTATTTGTTCCTCCCTGATGGATTCTCTGCCCCTGCTTTGAACAGCCTTTCCACGGATTTCTGTGAATGAATTGTAGGGGCAGAATTTGGGGGCTGGAGGTGAAAGGTGCAGGTTGAATTGTGATGATTTATGTCCTTTAACCTCCCCTCTTTTGGGAATTTGTTCCTTTAGGAAGCTCAGCAAAGCAGTGGATCTCCCAGCCAGCCAGAGAAGGATTTGAAGGCGTCTTTCAAGGTAAGTGTAAATATGTAAAATTAAAAAATTTGTTTTATCTACGTGAGATGATTTTTGAGAAAACAAGTGCAGCGGATTTTTTTGGTTGATATAAAAGATGAAACCTGAGGTGAAACTGGGAGAACAGAACTTGACTAAAATACATCTCTTACAGAGAATTCCCCCTAATTAAATTGAAAAGTTGGCACCTTTGTCAGTCCTAAACGTTGCAAAGAGAATAATTTATGAATCCTGGCAATCCCTGTTTAACGGTACAAGGTTCACATAATGCATTTCCTGCACCTTTTGAGATCAGATCTCGAGAACTAAGACCTGGAATTCTTAAAAACAAGCAGCACAAAGTTACTTTCAGGTTGGCACCTTTCCGAGATGAAGATCAGGACAGTCACATTCCACTGGTGTGTCTGTCCAGGAGGTACTAAATGAGTTGGATTTGTTGCTTATTGTTCATGTTTCTTCCTGTGTGAGTTTTTACAAATTCCCAGATATCCTGAAAATACAGGAGTGACAGATTTTATATGTTTTACATACAGGTCATCAAAGTTAATTGCATGAAATGGAACAATCCCCTGATTTAATCCCTGCATTGAGTTTATTTAAAACAAAACCACTTGTGAGATGTGAGGTAGTTTTAGGATTCTTTTACTCAATTCCTTGATGCTGAATGCCAGGAGAATCAATCTGCATTTTGGTTTTGGAATAAACCTCAGTTTGCAGACACTGGTAAAAATTTGCTTTTTTCCTAATTAATGACTTCATTCATGAGAGTACTGAAATCAGAAATTACTGCTGATAATTAAAAAATAGACAAGCATTTGGGAAGGAAAAAAAACCGCTGGAAACAAATTTAAATTTAATCAATTAATTAGAAAAATTAAGACACCCTGATTTTGGTGATTTTGGTGATTTTGGTGATATTGTTTTAACTGTTAATGGACTGAGAGAGGAGATGCCAAAGATCCTCTCCAATATTAGTGTGAGACTTTTTTTCAGTAGTTGGGCGATATTTATCACTGAAATCAAAATTTTTCTTCTTGTAAAGAGGAAAAAACAGAGTCAAAGATCTCTTTAAATCTATAAAAAATGGAAGACTTTGATCTCTTTTTTTTCTTCAAAAAGAAACATGTAATGCTGGACACGGAGTTTTGTTTGGCTCAGCACAAGTAATCGAGTTGAAGACATAAAAATATTTATTGGCAGTTAAAAAAAGAAAATAACAGAAAAGAAAAGAAGAAGAAAAGAAACAGGTTTGGTCATGATTTGTGTGCCTGAATATTGTTAAAATCTCACTTGTAGTGTTAAATATGATGCAGAACAGGAGCAGGTCTCCCTGTATTTGGAAGAGTTGCCCTGTGGGACAGTGCAAGGCAGGTATCTGGGGTTATCCCCTGGAGATAATATTCCTTGCAGGCAGGGTGGGCTCATCCCAAGGGATCAGATAATTCCCCCAACCCTTCCATAAACCTTCCCTGGCCAAACTGAATTAAGACAGACAATATTGTTTTCAGCCCAGGAAATCATTTGTGGGGGAAATGTTGAGCTTTCCATTTATCAGCAGAATGAAGTGGTGAGGAAAGCACATGGTGGGAAGTTTTATCAAACTCCCAAGTAATTGAAAGGAGCAGCAGTTTGAGAGGTGGGTGGCAATATTTCACTGGGCTTTGATGCAAACTCAATTCTGCTGCTCGACTGGTAGTGATTTTTACAAGGTTTTAATAAGGGGACATCTGTGACTGTAGCCTTAGCAGAGTTCATGTCCTTTATAGCATCAATAATTTACAATAATTCAATAGGGACCCGCAGAATATAAAACAATCCTAGTGGAAAATGACTTTATTGGAACCATCTTCTGTGGCTGAAGATTCTTTTAAGTGTCTGGTTTCAATGAAACACGAAATAACGTATCCATTATACTTTTATCATTGCACAAGAGAAAACCTTGTTCAACAGTCTTTTGGTGAAGAGAGTTGTTACATTTCACTTGCTTTAGTGCGAAGAGAACAATTTCTCATCTTTGGGCTGCTTCTGAAAAATTTCCAGTGTGACTTGAACAGGAAAGCATTTAATAATTTACATAATATCTATTTTAAAACATGTGCCTAAAGAAGTGCCTGAGATGTTGTTCAGATAGTGTTCAGTAAAAATGCATAGACCTAGTTCTAATCTTGGTCACATCCTCCATCCTCCTAAAAGCAGAAGATTTCTAGGGATTTTAATAGAATAAGCTTTACAAGGGAAGAATTTGGAGCCTGATGTGTCTTACAGCACCTCAGCATCCTCTGAGTACAACCAGGACTTGGGGCTGCTGGTGCATGAGAGGTTGGACATGAGCTGGATTATCCTGAGCTGGCCCTTTCCAACCAGACCATTCCACAATTCTGGGACATGGATGGAGGGGCAGCCCCTGTATTTGAATCTCAGAAGTGCTGAAACCATCGTTGTCACGTAATACTTGATTTATATCCTGCTTTCTGAAGAATTAAACGACCATTCTCTACAACTTTTTGTCTCCATGTGAACTCCCTGCTTTCCCCAGTTTTCAATCTGTTTATCAGTGTTGTCTGAAATTGAGAGAAATACCAATATTTTCTATAAATAATAATCCAGATAGAGGAATGAAATCATGGAAATATGGAATGGTTTGGGTTGGAAGGGACCTTAAATTCATCCAGTGCCACCCCCTGCCATGGACAGGGACACCTTCCCCTATCCCAGGTTGCTCCAAGGCCTGTCCAGCCTGGCCTTGGACACTTCCAGGGATGAGCAGCCACAGCTTCTCTGGGCAACAGATCCTTTTACAGAAACCACTGTGATAAAGTCTGTGGTTGTGTTCAACCTCTGTTGTTCACCAGATAAACTACATGAGAGATCATCCTCAGACAAGTGCTTGGAAATTAGTTTGTGTTATTCCTGCTTTTCCCACAGTTTCTTCCTTCATGATTCTCTTAATCACTCTTAATCTTTTTTTTAAAAAAAGAGTAACATGAAAACCCAAATAACAAGCAAAATGTCATCTGTGCTCATGTATCCTTAGTTATTTGACATATATCCTGATCTATTTTGTATCTTTTTGGCAATAATTCAGTTGTCTTTAGATCCCTTCAGCCTTTCAGGAGGCTTTATTTGGTGTTAATTCTCTCTGAAATCAACTGAGTTTGCCAAAGAAATTCTGAAGGTTAGAAACCCATTTCTAGTCTCCTGGAAATCTTTTCATTTTCATTGTTGTCACAAGGCTTTTTCTACATCCCCTTTACATAAGTTAAATTAAGAACATAGGTCTAGTCATAGTCGTAATCAATTTTCTGATTCTGTAGAGAAGGGAAAAGTGCTGGAGCATTAACAATTTTTAAAAGTACATTTAAATCATTATTCATTTATAGGGTTGCATTAATTTCTGAATAATGCAGCACTGGAAATGGATGATTCACAGCGATGTAAAGTCTTTTGTAGTCATTTAGAGCCTCATTATATGAATCTATCACTCACTGTTTCCACCCACAGACACTTCTTGAACTGATGAGGCAAAATCATTATGATGCAGATAAAAGGGAGAGCCTGGCAAAACAAATACAACAACAGTTTTAATTAGGCTAATGTTTTTAAATTCCCACAAGGTTATAAAAGCACACTTGCAGCCGTTTCAAACACAAATGGATCAGGGCTCAATCCTTCCCAGTCTGAATACGGGATTGAATCCAACTGCAGCGCCAAGCAGTGAACCCAGCTCTTCCCAAAAACGGGCCTCTGGTTCAGCAGCTGCAGGAGAAGTGGCATATCCAGGTCGGTGGAGGAATTTGCTGACTCGGCACATAAACCTGCAAAAGCCTTAATACCCCAAAATGAACAAAACTGAACCCAAAACAAAGCAGTAAAGGCAGAAAGAGTAAAAACCTGTGGGTCCCAGAAAGCACAAATAGGTGGAGGTTGGCTCCAAAGTGCCAACTCACACGTTGCTTCTCTTTATTTCTATTTGATTTGCACAAAGGCTTCTTTTTCTATTTATTTCTTCAAATAATGACACTTGTGCATTGATTTTCTTTTTCTTTGTTTTTGTCTTTTGGAAATCTAATCCTTTGTTAGAGGTAGGACTGTGTTATTAGTGGAAACACGAGCCTGTTGAGGGAGGCTGAAGTGCTTCATCAAGCAGAAATAACGTGTTTGGTTTCATTTCCCTCCCCATGGAGAAGATTAGAGGCATGAACAAGTTAGGGTGGGGTACAACCAAGGGCTTTGATGAAAAGAATGGAAAAAAGCCTGCTAAATTTGATATGAACAATTTTTAGATCTTTACGAGGTGTTTTGTGAGCCATTTTTTACTTCTTAATTTGTGTGCACTTAACAGTTTTCACATGGAAATTATAAGAAGGAATTTCTATGCAGCTTCTTGTGGGCAGTTCTTGTTTGAAGAAAATTTTACTTTTCAGGCAGAGATTTTTTTTTCTTTTCTACTTGTCTGTGTTCCCTTAAAAGGTGAAGGATTTCATTCTTTAATTTCTGACTTAACAATTCACCACATCTTTTACTGTTAACACACCCTAATGCTTAAGACTCTGCCATAAGTCTCTGTGACTACTGGTTGTTCTGGAGGTGTTTTTAATCTTATATCGTAGATTCATAGAATTCACAGAATAGTTTGGGTTGGAAGGGACCTTAAAGCTCATCTTGTCCCACCCCCTGCCATGGACGGGGACACCTTCCATTAGCCCAGGTTGCTCCAAGGCCTGTCCAGCCTGGCCTTGGACACTTCCAGGGATGGGGCAGCCACAGCTTCTCTGGGCAACCTGTGCCTTTTGCTTCTGTCCTAATATTCCAACTAACCCTTCCCTCTGTCAGTTTGAAGGCATTCCCCCTTGTCCTGTCACTCCATCCTCTTGTAAGTAGTTGTTCTCCGTCCTTCTTGTAATTTGTGGTGCCTCTGAGTTACTGCAGATGTACCCAAATACCTGCTCCTCAAACAGGTTTGAGAACCTGTTCTATGTCTGCTTCTAGTGACTCCCACA